GAACTGAGGTCTAAAATAGGCTCTTTCCTGTTCTGAAAAAAAATCCCTGGTTTGTAAGGGTCTGCTAGTATCCAAGTGTGTAAGTATCTGTTCAGGCGATGTCTAGGTGCATTTGTAGGTTCAGGGACTAGGGCTCTGCGGGACCAGTCAAATCACTTATAAACTCTATAATCTCTGCAACTCTATAATCTCTATAATAATTTTTCCCTCCCTGAAGGGACTAATCTTTAGGCACAGGGATGGAGCTACTGAGAGTTCACAAAAGCAGCCACAGACTTTGGATGCATAGGTCAGAAAATTTGAAAGGCCAGATTTGCAATAATCAGAAGCAAGAGTTTCTCCAGGACCTGCTGGTACTGAGAGATGTTAGGCTGGGCAACAGAAACCATCCCAAAGTTGGCAGAGAGGGGTGGCAATGGGTATCTTCCAAATCTACCTCGGCACATCAGAGGGCTGCTAACCACACCAAAATGATGAGGCACAGTTTCCTGCCTGTAATAGGTGCTACGTGTGGTGGTGTGGCTTCTGGCATTGCTGCTCATCCTCCTGTAACACCTCAATCCTCCTCTCAGGCTGGTGAAGTGCTATCTCCACTCCAGGAGTGGCTGGAGGAGGTTTTGCTCTATCACTGCCCAGAGGAGCTCCAACCGGTTCATGCAGGAGCAGATAAGGATGGAGACAGGAATCTTGCTGCTTCCTCACTCACAAACCTTCCTGGAGTAGCATCACAACCTTAGCACTACTATGATCCTGGTTCTGGCATCTCTCTTTGTGAAAGACTACGGTCAAAGGCTGAGTACGTGCAACCTGCAAAGCCCCAAGGAAGTCCAACAACTCATGCTGATAGCAGGTCATGACAGAACATGGGGAGTGCAGGAGCCAGCACTAAGCAAGCGCTGCTCAAAAGATGTAAGAAGCAACATCTGGATGCTGCAGTCAGACAGAACCAGAGGAGAAATAAAGCAGCATTTTGAGATTGAGGTGTTTTCTTTCTTTCTTATTGGAGAAGGCGATGCAGTGCTAGAACAAATTAGAAACAACAGGAAGCGGTGCACTCCTGTCCTGCAGGCTGCCTCTGTGCAGGGTCTGCTTTTGTCCTTCCCAGTCACCTCCAGCACGCACAAGTCACTGGACTGGACACAGGAAGGATGGGGCAAGAACAGAATAGCCCAGCTCTTACGCAAGAGTCTCTTGGGATCAGACCGAATGACCCCACCCTCCCTCCTTGCCCGAGGCTTCCAAAGGTGCCTCTTCCTCCAAATGCTTCTGAGATTGCTAGGGGATTCTTTCTCAAATAATACTGGTCAGAGATAGAAGTCTCAAGAGGGGGAAGGTTACGTAAAATACTTTGCAGAGCACCCAATCGCCTCTCATTAGGAAATATGTTATTCTGGGATGAAGGAGCTGCTTATTAACTACTTAGGAGACTGCAAGTTCATGAACACATCCCTCTGACCCCTCACTATCAGCCTGAAAACCGTCAGCTCCTTGGATGTCAGCACAATTTGCCCACTCACAGTCTCCCCAAAAGATCTACCACTGGGGTGGCCCCACAACACTTTTAATTAAGGTCTGCAGAAACTGCTGACACAGATGAACACAGAGCCTTACCACCTGCCACTCACCTCCCTTTACCTCCTTCAGGTGCTCCCCCTTCCCTCTACCCCCCATCTGTACCAGCACAGTCATTGCCAGCTCCCCCACTGCTGCTAAAATCGGAGCAGTACCGGGGAGAACACTGGTGACCAAAGTTTTGATGCAAACAAGGATCAGCAGCCTCCAGAATTTGCCGCTGCGCCAGCCTAGACACGCTACGACTGGAGTTCAATGAAAGAACAGTCTGAGAGCCCCACTGCTTATTCCCACCCTCTCTATGCAGAAAATGTACAGCGTGCAGAAGTCAGCACAGCCACCACTAACAGTGCGCCATCCCTGGAGGAGACAGCAAAGGAAGATCAACTCGGAAGACGATGATAATCATGCCGAGGCCAGGTGGGATCTCCTGGGTGTCTGTGGGTTGACACCGGTACAACCAAGCCCACCTGATGGACCATGTCACCCCGGCACCCAGCGGAGACTGCCTGAGGTTTGCCCAGGAGCCGAGTGTCCCTGCCCACACCACCAGTCCAGATGCAGGAGGGCCTGGTGATGCTGAAAGGTGACTGTTCCAGCCAAACCCCGTAACCACCCACGGCCCCTGGCCAAGCATCTGTGAGCCTGCAGCGACACAGCTGAAGGCCAATGGGACAGACAGGACATCACTGTCCTGCAGTGAGCAGGGGACAGTCCGTGGGCTGCAGCTGCACCCCACAGCCAGGGTCAAGGACTACAGCCCCTGTGGGCACCCGCAGGTACAGCTGGCAGCAAGGAAAGCTAAAGCAAAGCGCTCAGGGATACGAAGTCAATGCAAGCTCAAATCCACATGCAGATGCTCTCCCTGGGGAGCGCTGCGACTTGTCTCACCTCTCCTGAGGCGCCAGTGAGGTTGGCAAACACACCCGAGCCCATTTCTGCCTCCAGATTCTGCCACCGACTTCAGTACAAACAAATTCAGCCCAGCACCAAAATAACCAACTCAGCGGCATTTAGGAGCAGAGTTATTTCAGCACACACCGGTGTGTGGGTGTTCCTAGGGCAGAACAAGAAAGCCTTATTTCAGCACAGCCATGGAGTTCAGTGCAAACCATTCCAGCGCACAACTGCCCGGATGGAGTTAAAAGTGGAAAACGCAAACGGAGGATTTAATTCCTGCTCCCTGAGCTGAGTGAGCCCTCAGCACCCTCAAACTTAGAGGTTTCTGGTTGTATCGCCTCTCTTCCCATGTTGCACGCCTTGTCCTGCTCCCAGGACGGTTGCGTCTCCGTGTGCTGTTAGCAAGGAGCAATTCGGCACGTTACACCCAACGGACTGTGGGTGGCCCAGGGAAGGCGACCTGCTGAATCCTGCTAAAGACAGAGAAAAAGATCCGACTGCTCCTGGGGGGAACTCATAGCACTGCTGCTTTTTCTAGCATTTTTCTTCATTATTATACAGAAACCAAACAACACCAGACAACTAGAACTCCAAAGAACCTCAAGGCAAACATCACTTTAAAGATGACATTTTTGTCTGCAAATCGTTTACCTATTCTTGTAACTTGTAACTTCTAAAATACAAGTAATTGGCCTCAGTTTGCTTTCCTTTGGGAAGAAAAAAAAAAAAAAAAAAAAAAGAGGCAATTTTTAGCTTGTTGCTTTTCTGTATATGGTAATGACCTTTCCTCTGCTAGTGTGAGTTTTCACAGCACTGAAGAAGAAAGGAAAAACTGTAAACTGAAAAATACTATGGGAAAGAAATGGCACAAAAATGAAGGAAGGCTGGACCCAGGGAGATAACTATGTGGCTGTAAAATAACCAGATTTTAGAGAACATGAGGATCACTTTAATTCAATTCTTTTGTGAATCTTAATGGGCAAATCTGCAGAGGGTGCTCACCACCCCCCAAAACGGGCTTCCACTGCATGACAAACACCACTGGTTTTCACCAGCCGAGGATCCCTTCCCCAGACCTATCACCATCTACAAGCCCTTTCAAAAACCACACTTGCCCCATTTCAAGGCAGCAGATCTGCAGCCTGTGAAGGGTGCTGCATTTCCCAGAGCCTCAGCTGGCCAGCTCCTCAGACCCCAAATCCCTCAAACCCCTCGTGAGATGCCATCACTGTTACCGTCACCTGCTTTGCTCTGACCTGACAGGAACTCTGCGTGAAACTATGTTGAGATCATGCAAAGGATTAAAGTCAAGTAAGCATAGAAAGTTCTGCTGACGCAGACATGGAGAAGTCTCCTTCTGAAAACCAGAGTCCTGAAGAGCCACATTTTCCAGTCAAATACTAGAAAGTGAATCCAATGTAAAACGCAACCATCTCTCTCTTAGGAGTCCCGGGGATGAGAGTGATTCAGTGCTGCACTTTTTACTGAACAGTCCCAATAGTAAAATAAGATGCATATATAATTTATTTTAAGAAAAAAAAAAAGTTACTAAGGAAAATAATACCGATTGTGGTCTTCTGGGATTACTGAATTCATTGGACAAACTTCACATCCTCTTCTAGAAATAACAAATGGTTGCCGAAACCTAACTCCTTTTCAATCTTATTCAGCCAACAAGTTAAGCCTTTTTTATTATTTTTAGGAAAAAACACATTAAAGTGATGGAGCAGCCCCTATAAAAGGAAAATTGCATTTCATTTAGTCCACGCTGATAAAATTCCACTGACATTTCAGTCTTTGGAATTTTAAGATGTAACTTTAAAGGCCCCATTGATGGATTGCTGCTGTAATCAGAAAACATTAGTACATTGTTAAAACTACAGGACTTGCTCAATAATGTCTCTTAGGAAAGAGGAGCTAATTTCCCCAAAAGAGCAGGGAGCAGACAGGGAAATAAATAACCCCTCCAGTACAAAACGGTTTACATTTTAGTTCTCAATGGTTTCCCAGTGTGGAGGATATTTCTAAGAGCACACACTAAAGATGTCCCTTGAGCAATTCAACCAAGTTTCCCTGGAATTTCAGTGACCGTGGGTGCGAAACAGGCACTCGAGGAACGGAGCAGCTCCCCTTACCTGTCCTAACCCCGGCACAGCCTCCGCGGGGCTGCACGAACCCGTGCGCGGTTTCTTGCCCTGCTCCCACTGGACGCCGGGCCACGGGACGGGACAGCCACCCGAAGGCAGCTCGCTTCTCAAACGAACCATGAATTTCCCTGCAAACCAGCGAGCGCTGTGGCGGCAAACCGCTCACGCCAGCAAACACACCGGCGAAGTTCAACGCTCTCGGCCGAGACCCGCGCACCCTCCGGGCGAACCCGCCGCCCGGCCCCGGCCCCCCTCCGCCCCGGGGACCGGCCCCGACCCCCAACCGCGGGGCCGAGCGCGCTGCCCGGCACCTCGGGGCCGGCCGGGGGTCCCGCCGAGCGCGCAGACCCTCCCCCCCCCCCGCCCGAGGCGCGGACCCACCTGGGTTGAGGCTGCTCTGGAAGTAGAAGACGGCCAGCAGGAACGAGCCGAGGCCGGCGGCCAGCGCCAGCCGCGGCCCCCGGCTCCGCCGCATCCTCCGCGGCGGCGCGGCGCGGCGCAGCGCAGCCCCCCGCGGCCAGGGCCCGCCGCCCCCCCCCCCCCCGCTCCGCTCCGCGCCCCGCCCCGCGCCCGCGGCCGCCCCGCCGCGCCCCGCCGCCGGCAGGAAGTGACAGCGGCGCGGCCCCCGCCGCGGGAAGGGGAACTTCGCCCCCCGAGCGCCCCGCGGCCGCGGCCGGGCTCGCCCCATGCAGCCCCGCCGAGCGGCGGGGGGGTGGGCCGGGGGGTGGAGGGGGGTGGGTTTCCTCGCCCGGTGCTGTGCCCGCCGCCTGCCAGCCCTCGGGAGCGTGCGCGTCCCCACCAAACGCCCCGGGTGGCCTCACAACTCCTCGCAGGGGAAGGGAGAGTTACTGATGCGCTGGCAGGGCTCGGGAGTTCCCTGGTGACTTCTCTCAGTGCGTTCAGCACTTCGTCAGCATCACCAAGTTTCGTGGCCTTAAAATATACTTTTTTTTTTCTTCTTCTTTTTTTTTTTTTTCTGGTTATCCCCTGGCCCTGCAGCCTTCACCTGAAAGCAGTTATTCTTCTGACTAATTCGAACTCAAGCAATACACTTATATAGGAGGACATAATTTTCTACTAATCTATGCATGGTTTTGGACATTAAGAGCGCAAAGCTCTCTTACCGCGTCCTCTAACCTCCAGGCTCTGTAATTGCAGGCAAAACAAGCTCTGAGCTTCTGTTGCCCCAGTTTTGAAATAGCAGCGATGCTGTTGACCCACCTCCGTAAAGCACTCCGGATCTACTCAAAGGCCACTTGCCAAATTAGAAAGCCAGGCTGAGAGCTGGATTCCCACTGCCAACAGGCAATCACTGCTTCTCTCATCATCCCCAAAATACTTAGATTCAAGAAAAAGCGGACAGCTCAAGGAGGAGTTGCTGAGAACGACAAAAGCCTGGGTGCGTGCACGTGCTGGGCTTCATTCTGCCCTCATTTAGGGCAGAGTAAACCAGGAGGAAGAATTTATTGCAGCGAAGGAAGCTGGAATGAAACAAGAACCCAGGCAGCGTCTTGCAGGCCAAGCTGAGCTATGACCATGAAATTGCACAGCTCTTTAAAGTCCCTGCTGGATGGTCTAGAGAGGGGCAGTAGAGGTGAGACCACAACTGAGACCCTGATATATTTACACCTCCTTGCAAGGACACACCTGTGTCTGCAGTAACTGGTTGGAAAGATAACCTCTGCTCCCGAGCGCTGTGCCAGTCGGATGTGGGCAGGGAGGGACTGTGACTGCTGCCGCTGCGCCGCGAGGCAGGCAGTGCTCGGGGAGAGCGGTTGGCTGGGAAGGGCTCTGCAGGTGCAGGTTGCTCTCCGTGGCAAGTGGTGCAGCAATTTTGGCCCCATTGGCCAGTGTGCAAACAGCTGGGATTTGCCTGACCTGCAGAGATGGGCTGAGAGACCCCAGGGGCAACGGGCTGGCTGAGTGCAGGTGGGGAGGAGGGACTGGTGTCTGTGAATACATTTTTATATCTGCTTACAGATGTTACCCTCATAATGGGGATGCACTACAAAGTGAGGCCTCCCTTTATTTTTCTTTCTGAAGAGGCTTCCAACAACCTCAGAGGTGAATAAAGACTTACGGGTTTTGTCAGCATTAAAAGAGACCCGAGTGATTCCTCGGATTCTCTCAGTGTCCACTACAGTAAAAGAAACATCTGGTGCTGCTGACCTTAAACTTCTCAAGGGAACAGAGTGATTTTCAGAGACTGGAGGCATATCCAGCCTGTGCAGTGGGAACCCCCTTCCAGTAGCTTTCCAGGAGCTGTAAGATACACTCAGTGAGCTTTTCACTATTTGCATCTGCCAGTATGGAAACACCGGAAAAATCTAGCCCAAGGCTCTCAGAGGAGCTAAGGAAAATAATCATCCCCTTAGCTCAACTTTCCTGGTTTCAGCAGGAAAAATAAAAACAGTAGACGTGACCAAACTTCACCCATAGTCAGACATTCTCTTAAATGAAAATACAGTAAAACATCCCACTTGAAACTCAGACACTGACCTGTTGAGTCCTGCTGACTGCTGTCTGTATTTCAGAGCCGGAGGGCAGGGCCCGGGCCATCTGTGATCACATCAGATATGCGAGGCTGGTCTTCCAGCAGTCCGAGGCAAACGTGCTGTTCAGATCTGCGGGACTGGAAGGGGAAGCACACCATGAAGATTTCATAGGATTCCTATGTGCACTCAGTTGCAGAGATGATCGGCTCCAACACTGAAACACCCTTTTTTAGAAGAACAAACACATTTTCAAGGGGGAAGGGGTACGTTATGGTAAGAGCTGTCGAGTGGCGAGGGCACCAGCTGCTGGGAGGTCAGGCCTTTGCTGTTGCCTATTTCTGTGCCTCTGAGAAATCTCTGCAGTCCCACTTGCTGATTTCTTGTACTGTTCCCCTGCCCCGGCAGCCCCACCATACAGAAAAGAAAGAGGAACCCCAGCCCTTAAGGCAGACAACAGTGGCTGGTGCTTACCTGAGAAGAAAAGTCCCCCCAGAAGTGTAGAGGATTAAATTCAAGCTCTCAGAGTTCCAAATTACTATCTCAAGCCTATTTCTAAGGGAATTGTCAGCTTCAGTCTGCATTGGAAAAGCTCCTTGTCTCCCTTCCCAGGCACCACTGGTGACTGGAGAACAACTGCACCGTGCCGCACACATGAAAATGCGACTGCTCAGCAACACACATGAAATGAGTATGGCAGTTTTTTCCAGGCAAGCACTGAGACTGGCTTTCTTAATCCGATGCTTTGCTCAGTTAATTGGAAGAATTGAGAAATGAGTATTTACTAGAGAATAGCAATGGCTCCTTCCCTGCCAGGCTGTGAGCTCCCCGTGGAAGGGCCACCCGGCTCTCTGTCTGCGCAGTGCCTCACACCGGGGGGCTCAGACCATGGCTGGAGCTATTTATGCCTGTGAAGGCAATATTGATAACCAAGAATAATGGTTGAAAAGTACTAATAACACCGTGTGGAGAAAAATTATCTGTTACTGCTGAGGCCTGGAACTGAATCTGACTTACACATGAAGAAGGGGTGCTTTTTACCTGCAGAAAGACACTGTGCCTTTGATGCAGTACACGCTTGATTCCCTCCCTGATCATTAGTAGTGCTCATTACTGTCTTCTCAGCAGGTTTCTCCCAAATGCCTTGCTGTTTCCCAGGCCCTTGGTGCCACTGAGTGAGATTTTCCCCAAGCTTTGGTCTGATGACCATGCTGAATGGAAATTAAACAGCAACTAGTTTCAGCTGGAAACTGAGGAATCTGTTGAACTACTCCTGAAGTTCTGGTTTTTCAGCTACTGTGAAGAGGAGCTTTTCTAGGGGATATTTTGATTTTGCACCCAGTTACTGAATTCTAGAGCCCGAATGATGCAGAAATAGTTTACCCTGGCCTCATGCTGGTGAGACCTCCATCTGCTGGTGGCCAGCCAGCAGTGCACACTGTCTTCACTGCCGGAGCACTCAAATTTTACCGAGCTAGCAAGAGCTTGAGCAGATATGTAGGGAATTACACTGATGCAGTACAGACTTTCTTCAGAGACCAGCAGCTGGGGAGCTACTTCCAGAGACGACCGTGAGTAATCTCCTCTCTGTTTTCCAAGAACTGCATTAGACATCACCCTGCCTTCAGGATTTCTGCAGGCCCTGTTGTATCCAGATACTCAATGCTTTGTTTTAAATTTTATGGCATCACTGTAATGTGCCAGCTGAGAGGGACCTTGCAAAGCTCTAGCTCATCCCCTACTTGAGCAGATGTGTGTGCAGCTTGTTCTGAAAGTTTCCCTGAGATGGACACCTTATGATCTTGCCAAGCAATCCCTTCCAGCTCTGCAAACCCTCACAAAATTTTCCTACCACCTTATCTGAACCATCCTTGTCATAACTGGGACCCATGATGTTTTGCCCTGGAAGACAAGCAGGGTGCCTGGTTCTATCACATTTCTGTATTAACCAGGAAAGGTCAGTTCTGCTAATAGCACCAACCTGGGAATACTTGCTTTCTCAACCAGTGCATTGATTTTCCACCATCTCCGGTAGTCCTCTTCAGCTGCAGAATGTGACTTTAAAAATATTATTTCATCAAAACACTAGTGCTTATGCCCATTTTGCACTGACGTACAACAGCCATACTTCAAAGCAGCAGAGAATCATGCTGGGGTGGACTTTTCACCATTAAGTGCTGGAATAAATATTTGCAAGCTCAGTATAGAAGAGAAACAGGTTGTATTAAAGGTAGAATTTACATTAAATACCTCTCAGGAGGTAACTGGGGAATTAAAAGTATGTATAATAAGACAAGAATGCTTGATGGATCTTTTAAATCTGTGGCCAGATTTTGCCACTTGTTCATACAAAGCAGCACTGATGCCTTGAGAAATATCCTTGGTCTCAGGGGGACAGGGCAGAGAAGAAGCTGACGATCCCAAAGATGCCCCATACCCTGGCGAATCCCACTGATTGGGTGGGTATGACAGCGTACGTTGCCTAGAGTTAAGCAGGTTCATGCACCTTGTCAGAAAAAAAGTACTGAGGGTTAAGATAGTGCAAATAGGATCTGGTCCTGAGTAGTTGATATTGTAACCTGGCAAATTCCATAGCATGCTGACCATTCTGTTCCCAAACAAAACACTAATCACTTCCTAGAGATCCTTTTGCAATTATCTCCCCGATCACCTGGGAAATCTCCCTAGAGACCAAGAAACTAAAAGCTAGGCTCTCACTTCTCTTTGTGAAAAGCTGGCCTCTTTCAAAATAGATTTCAAGAGATCATTCCTTTAACCTTCTTGCTGTCACAATTAAAAAAAAAAAAAAAAAAAAAAGGGGGGGGGAAGGGGGGGAAAAGCAGCAGCTGTTTTCTTTTAAAAGCACCAGTGGTGATGTGAGCAAACCAAATTACAGGCTCTGAGAACTACTCTCTCTCTGCAATGCTTACATCTACTGGAAATGCCGTTGTTATGATGGAAACACCCATCAACTGTTTTATTTAGTGGTGGCAACTAGGGACCGTA